AATTTAGAAATACAATAGGAAAGGAAATACACTTTTAAGGTCAAATATGTAACTCAAATTCTTCAAAGCGGAGACATGAAATTCACTGCTCATAAACTTATTTATAGAAAACATGCGCAAAATGAAGTTAACACATATTTACTTACGAATAAATAAGGACACTAGTTTACATGGAAATGCTTCTCTTAAAAATCATCTACTCACATGCCTGCTAACAATACAGCACTTAACCCATTTAAGAATGCATCTCCCTTTCTGTAACATCTTTTCTCTTCGCCTGACATTATTACCTTCTAAAATTTAGACGTAATACATTTTGCTCAAATGTGTTTTTATGTCCCCATTTCGGATTTGTATTCTCCCAGCATAATCATATGTTCGTTGTGCAGTTGTGAAAAGTGTGTGGCTTTGGTTTTCTTGAAATGTGAGATGATGGCCATCTGTCAGTATATTAACGCAGGCTGATGACAATTAATAAGTCTATTGTTGCATTACTAACCCTGTCTGTAACACTTCCGAAAATGGAAATCCGGAATTCAACCGAAAAATAAAGCAAACCTAAATATAGTACAGTTGCGAATAAATCAGACTGCATTGAAGGAAGGATATTTTTTTCAAACATGCGGAAACTGTAATGCATATTCGGCCAATTTACAAATTAGGGTTACTTATGCATGGGATAACTCCTATGCTTCTCTTTAAGGAGATCGCATTATCCCTCTCTAGTGTACCAAGAAGACATCCTCATTGCTGCATTCCGCAACAGTGTAGCCTCCCTCAAGACAACTCTAAATTATACTTTGTTATTCTTATAAAGTTCATTTAAATTTTAAATGATCCTTTGGAACTTATTCAGTGCTAAGCAAACAGCAAAATATCGTAAACGCATTACTCACTCACGCAGTCGTCTACAAATCTGTGAAATGAACCACGAACAGCATATTCATAGGAGAACGATAATAGTACATAATTTTGAAAACATGCGCATGTCTTCTTTATACTCTTAGGAATTTCTTTCGTAACTGAAAAGAAAAAACAGAGAAGGAACTTTACAACAAAATAAATCGTCCTTTCGGGGCTCTTTCCCCTTATGCTCCATTCCTGCAACAAGACTCCGTCACATGTGTCATAATGTATATTTACACGTCTTACGCCTCCCTCTCCTAAATTACTTCCACGTGTTCAAAACAAGGCTTTTACCGCGCTTACGATGCATTGCGGTCGCTCGAGGACTAGCACTGTGCGAAAGGGTGACAAAGAAGAAATTCTCTTGAACATGCCATAATTTAAATCCTGACAGAATATTGGAACATAACTTGTGAAAAACAAACAGATAAAGAACTTCTCATTTGCAGACTAGGAGTTATTTTCAGAGGCATTGGCTTGTTCTTGGCCATAACAGATCAGTAAAAGAGAAATTAAAGCATGAAAGCTCGCTTAGTTTCCATAGCTGAAGAAGTCATCTACATTGTTTATTTTCGAAGCATTATAAACGAGAGGACATCACAGCGACGTATGAAAATATTACTCAGTGGTAATGAAACATATCATACGGACTTGCATTCCTTCATCTGGCATCCTAAAGTTTCTTCGCTCTATTTGTGCTCTTTAGGATAAAACGTTGTTAAATGTCGCTTCCTTAGTTTATCCATTATTCCGAATTTATTACTCATTTCTTTTCAACAGAGAAACATGTCCTTCGGTGGGGGCTTCCCATTTGATAGGGAACATTCGTAACTTGGCCCTCCGCTTTCTTCTGCACAGGTGATGGACATTTTCCAATATTGCTATTCTTCTAATATAAAGAATATTTACAGAAAATTTACCTTAATTTCATATGGATCCTCAGGACATAGTCTAAAGGTGACACGACAGGTAACTGTTAATTCTTCTCAGGTGTTCTGCTTCATCCACGTAATGTGAACTGAAAAGCATAAAAAAGGGAGACGAATAGTAGAAGCATTACTGAAACGCTATTACTCCTTTTCTCCCCCATTTTCAAATGGACTTTCCCCGGTTTTAACATTCGTTATAGTAACATGAAAGTTAAATTGTCAAGAGAATACCCACCAGCGAAGAGATTAAAGAAATAAATGTGCCAATCGGAAGATTATCCTCCTAATCCATATAGGGAGAAGCTTAAAATGAGGAAAAACAACAGAACAGCACACAATAAAATGAAGAAGAGTGCTCAACTTAAGAAAAAGAAGAAACAGACACGTCACATAGAATGTCAGTCGTGGGAATGCACACACATTTGCGTTACTATGGATACCCTCGCCTCTGCTATGTGTAACAGAGGGATGCATATCTGCTCAGAGAGGGAAAATATGCATTTTTTTTCTCAGATAAAAACACTTCCTATAGTAACCAGCCTATACACGTCGCTCCCCTCCGAAGCGCAGACGAGTTCGGAGGACAGATCCATGATCTTCTTCAAGATATCCTCTTCCCCGTCCCCCCAGAGGGGGCTATGCTCCACATAGTCCAGTGTGTGCATTCCCTTATTGTTAACTTCAGTTGGTTGTAGAGACATGGGAACCGGGCATAGTAGCACAAAATGTCATCTTTAGAATGAATAATCAACAGCGGAATATTTTTTGTGAATGTGTTTTATGCTATCTTCTAAGTTCTGCAGTGCTCTCAAAAGTTCATAGGAAAAGCTACACATCGTTTCCTCCTTAGATCTAATTTTATCATACTCAATGAAATATTTAACATGGCTCTTCATTTTAAAAAGATACGTCGCGAGAAGTCTTACCATTGCGAAACACTGATGAGTTAACTTCAGCAATGTGAGAAGAATTCGGTGAAGTAAGAACGAATTTATGGATGATATCTTCTCAATTGTTATCATCAGGGGGAGGCACATACAATCTCTGATGCTTAGTTCTTCATTTTCCATTTGAAATGCGAACTTCCACTTTTTTCAAATCTGAATATAATTCTAGGAGCTTCCTGATTTATAAGGAAACTAGGCAAGGTTTACTTTAATGCACTTTCTTAATTATAGTAGGATAAATAGACACTTTATTTTATGTTTCGTTAGCACTTTTTGGTTAACCTTAGAGACCAATGATGTATTATTATTTCATCATTTTGCTCTTGAACAAATAATTAAATAAACATCTGACAAAAAGTTGAATTTTTCTCAACAACATATCTACCTTTACATAACTCACATGCTGATAGTATGTATTATATATATGTTTGTATACTCCTCCTAAGGATTACATTTATTCTCTTCCGTTGGAGAAGACATTTATAAAGAACTTTCTTATGCATATGACAGTGCACAGAACAAGACCGATATAATTCCTTTCCTGAGAAATATTAATTTCATGCTACATTATACGCCTCTTCAGGATGCTTATGCTTTTATGATAATAACTAATATAATTTTTCTTTTACTTCCTATACATGTGTGGTATGTTTATTCCTGTACACTTTTATCACGGTTCATATATACTATTCTATATAAATCGTTAATGTAAAATTATTTATGCCTTATAATGTACAATTATTATTTCTTTAATGTGAAAAAGGAGAACTTATTGGATCATTTTTTTCACTTCAAACCTTTAAGTATTTCATAAAATATTAATGTTAGAAAAGAAGTATTGTATTAAAACACTACATTCGGAAAAGAACCATCCAAAAAAATGTAGAGACTTATTTTTACTAAAATCATAAAGTTCAATCCGCACATTCAGAGCAATTTTTTGCAATAACCCACTGAATAAAATAAACGATATTGTAATTACGTAAATAGAAAACTGATAAACATAATCTTGAATAGTCCAGTGAAGAAATAAAAATATCCACACATACAAAAACAAAGTCATGTAACCCTTATGTACGAAAAAATGACGTAGAGTACACTTTTTAACAAATATAAAACGCTACTTTGGAATTGTACATTCCTTCATCCCCCTGAATACAACCTTTGCTCGATATAATAACGAACTATAACAATTTTAAAGAGGTGCTTAATGTCTTACTATAGCCTTCATACGACGTGGACTAACATAAATTAACAAATAGTAAAAAGTTTAAACTCTGTAAGAATATTCAGCACTTACACATATAATTCAAATTTCACGTAGCCGTTCACTTTAAGTGAATATTATTAGCACATGGAGAAAAAAAATGAATATTCTTACTAGTACATTATATCCATTTTTACAGCATTTTGATAAATTTGCTTAAACCAAATAGAAAAGTAAAATATAACGACATGGGCAAAGCGTTTAATCACGCAAAAAAAAAAATTTAAATATTTATACACATGTATAAAAAATACATCAAATGATGGCAAAAAATAAACTAATTAATAAATAGAATTTACTCCAATACGTAGAACTGTGTGTAAACTAAAAATCAGTATTCTATTAATGATGGTGCAAATAATAAAACAAAAAAACATCTATTGAAAATACTCATAAGAAAATATTCATAAAACTCAATATATATCATATAGCAGAATTTTGATATATGTGCCACTCTATTTACTAATTAATTAATGTCCCATGAAGAAAAAAAAAAAAAGAAAAATGCTCTCTTAACATCATTATATGTCGAAACGTTTTAAAAATTATAGTTCTCATTTATACGGATCCCTAGTGTGCTTCCACATATAGCACTCAAAAAATAACTTTTCATTAATGCCAAACCCATAAGCAATTATGCATTACTTCCTAATATAGCAATATGGAATTATAATAAAGAACCTCCCAATTACCAAAAAAGGAATAACTTCCATTCATATATCATTAAACCCTTTTATTTTTCGATGGAATGACATATTTTATTCATAATATCTCCTTTATTATTTCATAAAATATCATTTATACAAAGGTATTGAAATATTACGTTGCTATTAATACCACGTCACTGTTCATATTTATACAGAGCACACTAATGCGCGAGCCTCATAATACTTATAGTAATCACACAAGTACCCCACCATTATATATATGCATATTAATAACCGACAAAGTTTGGGATACGTTAACTAAAATATAGCAGCTATAAGAATCGTCGGAAGGAAAAAGCAGAAATCCAAGTAGAGGTGCAAACGAGTAATTAAAAAAAATCATAGGATTAGTTAAAACTACATTTTTCTAGTTCACTATATAAAATATATCGCTATTTATATTCCCTTTCCTATTAATAACCTTTTGATTGTATATTTCTACATTAAAATTTTCTTTATGAATACGTGCTAAAAGAAAATATAATAAAAACTCTATCGTACCATGATCACTTTCATGAAATTGAACTTCATAAAATACGTTATGTAAAATTACGCATATATTCAAAGCCAACATATACAAAATTGCACAGAAATTATTTATCTCTATAGAATAAAATACTCTATTTTATTAAGTTACCTGAAGTATAACTACTCCCTAAAAAATTATTATAGAATAAGAAACCACTCACAATTCACAATGCTTAAATACGCGTTCATTACATATATTTAGTTCAAAATTATTTCTGCCTTTGAATGAACACATACATTACTTATAGATGTTACAGCCTCACTGAATTATATACATAATACATTAAACAATTATTTTATGCTACTTCTGATCGAACATAAATATATATAGCCCTATATCATTCTTTACACAACATAAAACAGGAATAACAGCTGCTTAACTTCGACATATTCTATAACTTATCCTAAATTGAAGAATCCTTTATAATAATTCAAAACTTTATAACACTCTATGGAATATTATATATACACTCTACGGAATTTACTTCGCAAATGTGACCCTTTAACTTCCTACAACTACTATTATTTTTTGTTGTACCTATATACCCAGCTCAAAATGGAAAACCCTTATGTATTGCAGCGCTAATGATAGTAATTATTTTTCTATCTAGTTCTTTTTCATTTTCACCAACTCTTCTGTACTTATCAAAATATATTGCATCCAATAAAAGAGTCTAGCAGAATATTCCTCATTTGACGCAGTTACCTAATGATTCGTAGATATTATATATTCGTAGTAATATGAATACACATATTTAACATTGCATACGCCAGAATGCCCTTTCAGAAAATACAGAATTTGAGAACAATATAAATCAGTCTAACTATTATTCCAAACTTGAAGAATTACACACTTAAAATTATCACTTTAGAAGAACACTTCCGCACATATCGCAATAGTAGCTGTCATCGATATATACACACAGAGAATTGCTTTAATAGTAATAAAGGAGATAGTTGAACTTGCAACTGATATTATGTACTCCACTACGAGATTCAACCTTGTCAGGACACAAAGGCACTACTGAACCTGAATTAACTTCTGCATTTCTGCTTACTATCGAATGAAATATATAACCCTTCAAGAAAGTTATGTACCTGTTCTTACAAAGTGTCAATATATAGAATACACAAATGGCAAAAGCTTACGCTTTTCTATATTCTGTATCTATTTGAAATTACATTGGGCAAGAAGTTATAAGGAACTGTAGCGAAGTATTTAAATACTGGCGTGTGAAATATAAAACATACATTTGGAAAACGCTGACGTGACAATATAAGGCAGTTTATATTTAAGAGGATATGGAAAAAAATATAGAAGACAATGAAAAATTCGAAAATTTCAACAATAACTCTTATGTTAGGGGTGTAGTATTGTGCTACTTGTTTGCTATATATTTTAATTCATGCTAAAATTAAGTTATGGGTATATTTATAAAGAAGGGTCCGAATATATGTCGTTCTAATAATGGAAGCTGCTCCAGGAGCGGAACCTCCACCAAGATTTAATCTTTTTGAGGATCAAAAGTTGCTACCGTGTCCCGAGACGTCACCCACGAATGCGAGAGAAGTACTAAGATTTATTTTATGCAAATGGGATTTTATGGTAAAATATGTTCAACATGATACCATTTGTGCTATTATAAACGATAGGGCTCACGTTATTTGTAACAATGAAGAAATAGCCATTGCAGTTGTAGTGTTTTTTTTTTGGACATTGTTTAGAATCCTACGTAGTATAATTCGCAGAGTAAGAAATAATATTGATCAAATTTTTTTCACAACATACATAAGTAGTACTTCATGAACACGTGTAAGAATAATTCACACAAGAAATGTAATATACATATCTTCTGTAACTCAATTCTTCTTCAGGTTACGAAGGCTGTAAAGAAGTCATGTAAAAGTAAAGGAACCCTTAAAAAAAAAAAAAAAAACAGAACACCAGAAGAGGAGGAATACGAAGAAACTGCCGAAGAAACTGCCGAAGAAGAATCAGAAGAAGGTTACAACGAAGACGATGAATACGATGAAGAAGATGAAAACGATGAAGAAGATGAAAACGATGAAGACTATGAAGACGATGAAGACAAAGAAAACTGTGCACATGGAGCAGATACGTTACAGGAACGGGTGCATCAATGGCTACAGGCTAATCACCGGAGCCATAAACCTCGGATTCGTGAACAATTAATGCATGAAAAGATAATGCTAAAACCGCAGATAGTATATCGACATTGGGAGCAACGACAAATGCAGCAACCACAAACAGTGCACCCCTATAAACAGGAACCAGAGGCTCCACAACCAGAAATGCTACAACCACAAATAGTGCATCCTCAGATTCAACAGGAACAAATGCTTCCATCGAAAATGCTGCATCCACAACTACGTGAAAACGAAATATATAAAAGAAAAAAAAAAGAAAGAAGGAAATTCTCTTCCGAAAATAAACGAAATCATTCGAATGATGATATATTTAATTTAAGGTATCATGCAAGAATACAATAAAGAATAGCACACTTTGAATCTTATATTATGCATATTAACAACAGGGGTGGTGACAGCCGGTGTAAATTATATTCACAAGTAAATAATTGAAAAATAACAGAAAGAACAGAAATTAGAGGGAATTTTGGATAACATAGTTAAAATATAGTCAAAGTAAAGGAGTATGTACAGTAGATTCTAGCATTCGTCCTAATGAAATAGTATCATTAATGAAAAAAAAAGATATGCTGTAGCTTAAGTCCTATAATAAACATACAATAACGACGAGAAGCAATTAATGTTTCAAATATAGTAGAATTCACCTGGAAATTTTGTAAAAGGATGTACTCCAATAACTTATATCCAAAATAAGCCTTATAGACATGTGCACACGTAGATATTCGAACATAAATACTTACAGAATTATGTATAACAGGCACTCTTCAATTCGTACTGTAGCAAGCCATAGTACTAAACAGCTGAATGTGAATAATAAGTACTACAGAAAAAAAAAGGAAAAGTGCGCACCCATAGAAATGATAGATAATTCCTATAAGATTTCACATATATATACAATACAATTCAAGAAATGATGGTGAATATAGATTTCCTTTTCATTTTTAACTATACACAGTTATGACGTAATAAATAAATTAGTACTTTCGAACCTACATGTAATGGAAGAACAAATACTACGAAAAGACTTATAAACAACGATAAGATATATTTTCCTTTCAAAAAAAAGAAAAAATTGGAACACGACTAATTCTTATGGTAATTTTTAATAAAAAATAAGATTTAGAAAACATGCTTATATCTATTTCACCAAATTAAAAATATAAGGACAATGACCCTCTGCAATATATAAGGTAGCTCGAAAGAAAAAAGGAATTACACATATTTAAAAAGAATTCGACAGCGAACACAACTATGAAATATACTATTAGGATATTTAGCGGGAACAATATTTTATTCAACAGCTCATTAAGCAATAGAATGTGGTAACTGCAAAGAATAAACGGCAAACATTAGGGTAATAAGTACTACAGAAAATATTTTCAATAAGTACTAGAAGACTCTTTTATATGAAATATTTTTATGAACATATCAAGAGGCCCTACTCAATATTCAAAAAAAAAAAAAAATAACTTCATAAGTGGCACCGTAAAGTGCAGAGAACGATTTTACCATGTCAGCTGCATTGTTTTTTCTCAGTGCCCACAATATACAATAAGGATAAATTATCCAAAAAGTGAGACGCACAGATGTTTTTGCATTATATATACAGTACAAGAAAAACTTATAACACCTCTGGTCCTAAGAAAACAATGTTTAAAAATTATTTGAAGTACTCAGTTAACGCTCCCCTTCAAGAAAAGTTAAAAATGGTACTAGACACGAAAGAGTATATACCAATTAGATGAAACAAATTGAAGTTCCTTAATATTTATCGTATTTGTATTTGCTTCATTCGAAAATGTATTCCTATGAGTACTCATCTGAGTTGGTCTGTACCGTGAACATATTTGGCATTATTTGAATACATACTTCAAAATATTTTGAACAGATAATTCAAGCTTTCATAATAGAAAGATTATTCCGTAATAACTGAACAATGGCTCTCATCACAATATCACATTTCTTAAAAACCTACATGTTCTGAAATTTTAATATTCACTTTTAGTAAGCGTTCAGTAACTATGTAATCCGTATGAACAGGCGTCACATGGTTATCAATAGAGGAAATAATACACATAAGAATGAATATTATGCTAACGACAACTCATTTGTTACACTCTCAACGTCCATATCAGTACATTCGGTAACTTTACAGCACAAGATAAAAAATAAAGTAATATAAATATAGTTAATTTTGCACAATAAGGCATAGCATGGGGGAATGCAATGAAACCTACCAAATGAAGTATCCGCTGAAACATAGAGACAACTATTATTTGTAATTATTACTCTAATAAAGTACTATTGAAAATTCATGCATTCTGCATTCGAAGTCAACTTCTGCAGCATACAAATATCTGAACAATTTTTACTTATTAACCATATATATATTTGTATATGCATTTAAGCATGTCATTATAAAGACATATATAGCTCATCTAAAATTCCTTTATATTTTTATCTATGTCTTTCTTTTTTCCTAAAATTCATTTGTCTATGCCATATATATTTTATTCATAATAAATAAGAAGACAACAAATGATTTAACTCGTGTTATTCTATTTGAGCTATTACTGAGGTTACAAAATTTATACTCCTCCAAGGATTCCCCTAAAGGGAAATTTTTTCCCGCTATATTAATAGGATGAATATTTTATACACCCCATTCTGGATTACATAGGAACCTCTTAGGAAAAGTAAATATGAAACATTAACATATATTGTGTTCTAATTCTCACGTTCTAAATATGTATACCTCTCACCGAATTATGCTAATATCAGCAAATTTTTAACATATGAAAACAGTAATTATTTAATGATTACACAAAATTATCCGGGTTACCATATTATAATGATCTTTATGAAGTTTTATTCTGTTATACTAGAGCATTCCCGGGATTCTTTTCCTTTAGTCAAACATTACATCCGTCATTACTGTAGTAAGGATTACAACACATTCTATAATACTACGCATAAGAGACAAATTATATTCCCTTTATCTCTTACACTTTCATTTTTCTCTTTGACCTAATATAATAATCTCCGCGTACATTAAAATATTTACGCACTCATCCCGATTGACACCAACTATTTTTAATGATTCTATTTTCTTTGTGTGTATGCTTTAATGATATAAGAAAATTGGATATTCCGCTATAACAACCCAGTTATATTGAATGGGTGTTATCATGTGGCAGAAACACATTATAATATAGCACACAGTTTCTCCTATATGCAGTAATATATAAGTTATCGTTAAAGGGGGTAATTACATATAACGTACCATCGTAAAGCTAATGGAATTAGGAATTTAACTCTAACATGCAAATAAAACACACAAACATATATATATTACATGTACACATTTCTAATTATTAGCATTTACTCCAAAATTGTATAAATAAATTACTTCCCTGTTACAATATCTCCTTTTAAGTGCTAATCAACAATTTCGGAATGTTAGTGACCCCCCTTTTTTAATAGTTATCTAATACTATTTTAGCGTCATTCCCTTAAAACTACTATTGCGTGAAAACATTAATAAGAAAAATTGGTTCATATTCAATTAAATAAATAATATCTAATTCAATGCTTATCAGTCTACTGCTTTATACATTAATAGATAACAATTTCACATTTCCCCTTCGGAAAAGTACTGCGTCAAAGACCATTTCATGTGCTCGTGTTTACTAATAGCATGAAATACGCACTTCCACGCATTCCCAACTGACAATGAAGCATTTTTATACATAAAGTTATAACTTAGTCTAATCCCCAATGTAAAACTAACACAAAATTTTAAGAAGTACATAAAATTTCACAAACAAGGGAAAAAAGGAAACAAAGACTATTACAAAATATGGATTGTCTACATATTAAGCGCGCTAGGAAATAAGTAGGCCGCCATTATAAAAACTAGAGCAGTTCGTGTCTTATTCATTATGCGCACTTACTTATGGCATTCTATTACCAGTTCTTCCCTTTTCTGTTTATACTGTCACTTAACCATGTTCTATTAAGTATATTAGTTCTAATCTTATTAGGCTATATAATATACTAATTCTATATTTCTGCACATTCGCAGAAGAAACAGCTACCAATAGGAAACTGGGTATCCTCAGTGAAGTTGTGATTCCCTGAAGTTACTAGTATAATAATGTTTTCCCCATAGCATGGTTTCACACAAAAATGCAAGAGCACACATCTAAATTAATTAGGCGTCACCTAATTTTTCACAGAACACAGCGAACAGAATGATGAATAGAATAAAAACACAGAAGAACAAGTTTTAATACACAAATCATAGGCACAAATACTGGTTCTTAATAATAAATATACAGTAATACTGCTACCTGAGCAAAACAATATGGATATCATAGGAAAAATATAATATATAAATAAATTTTTAATAGTTTTAAGGAATGATACTGTAAATATATTTCAAGCACTAAACACTTTGTTCTTGACGCTCAAGTTAGAAACTATAATGTCTTATGGAATACTTTAATAATCGTTCATTATGATATTACGCTGCTATATATTACAAGAAGTTTACAGTTGATGAGTACTAAAAACTATTAAAAAAACCTCGATTATTAATAAGCATATGTAAGTTAAATTATAATGCGTTTTTTACGTGAATCAAATATTGTTTGCACCTAAAAAAAAATAAAAACACAGTCACACCCAGCATTGCTATGAACTCATTAATGATCCTCAAATGGCCTATTCTCAATTTATGCCAATTAAAAATGTTCACATTTAAAACTGCATTAAACAAAAGTATAGATACATATTCGAACATAATGTGCAAATACAATATGATATGGAACTAACCAGTTACCCATTAGAACTCTTATTTAAATCTACAATACTAAAATAAAACGATATAGAGTAAAATTAAAATTTATAACCTCACGGTTATTATTATTATTATTAAATACTTCTTCATGTAGCACACACATAAGAATTAAAAATAATACCTATAATAAAAAATACACAAATACATGGATAGACATACATTTTGTAAAAAAAAAATTAGTATACGTTACCTTCCAATTGCTGTATAATAGTACGTTATTAACAAAAAAGAGAAACTTCAGTGCCTCAGATGATAATGTACTTGTTGAATATAATTTAAAGAATTTGCTAAATCACTTCACTCGCATTTTTTATTACTGTTATTCCACACAGGAATACTTCAATTATGGGGAAACTGACGGTAGACTCTCACTTAATGTAAAGTAACACTTAATACAGGAATGTCTAATTATACAAAAAATTATAAAACTAACAATCCAATAAACTAATTCATATATCTTTTATCACATTGCTCTTCATTAGTAAAACTCGCATTTTATGAATAATTACCTGATATCCAATAACATTAAATGTTCTTCACACTGTAATATCGCAAACATTTACAAGAGTTTTCGTTGCATGTGTATATTCATATATTTTTAAAACGTTTCCCCCCTAAAAGGATTTATTCGCACCTTTAGTAATAACATTGACGTAGTTATATATTTATTGTATATACATATGTAAGCACAAGAATTAATTGAGAATTGTTTAAATTATAATATTAATTAAAATATATGCAGTTAGAAAAATTGTTAAAGGGAAAAAAAAAAAGTAACGTATAAACACAGGGGAGGGGTGAAAATTCATAAAAAATAGTTTAAATCATATAAATTCAATTATGCAGTATATGCAAATAATTTCTGATTTTATATTATCTTCTTATTTACAAAAAATTCCCCCCTATCATTCGGTTATACTGCTAATGTTTCAGGTGAGTATCCCGCATTTCAGTGCATAACATAAATTTAATATGTAGCCTACCCATCCATTGATTGCCACTGAAACGAAACATTACAAAAGAAATATATCATGAAAAAATAAATATAGAGGTAAGGCATATGATATAAAAAATAATCACATTAGAAAATTAAGGAATTAACTATTATCCAAAAATTAGAGCTCCACAATTCATGTAGTTATAATATATAGCAATTTTTTCCATTTATAGAATTGGCTTCGGAATAGAAAAAAATTAAGAGCCGTGTTTTACTTATATACTTCTTTATTACGTAAACTGAATTTAATATCACTTCTGCTTCTGATGAAACATATATATTCTTCAAACAACAGAAATCTAGATATTTATAGGTCACTATTCAGATATACCCCTACCAGCTTTTTGCACTGATTAAGCATATTTAACCCTTTCCAGTTTTTCACCACAAAAGAAAAGTTGTACACAGAGCTCAAAAGGGACGAAACCTCAATGTATTATATAATTAGAAATAAATTTAACAACATTCATAGTAATTTAAAGCTTCATAATAATCTATGCATTTTACCTATACACTTCGTAATTTGTTATAGAAATGCAAGCCCTTCATTACTCACAATTTCAGCTATTTATATTATTCCTTTACATCCAAAGTGGAATGGAGAATCTTCATGAGTTCAACGAAGGGTACGTAGCACTGCCTCTTAATTGACGCATTTACATGGAGCCCTATGTCGGTTTTATTAGGATATAATAATTCTGAAGAAGGACATTATAATCTTCTTCCTGGGTATTCACGTTGAACTACGTGGCTACATTACATTATTTAAACTAATAAACATGTATAAGTGAAGTTCCTTCGTTGAAAATTCTTTTCACATCGATCATATAAATATTTTCATCAGATATCATAAACTTGAAAAATTATTCATTACAGAAATATCACTTCAGAACTATTCTTCCGACATAACATGACAATAGCTATCATTCACATATGACTTACACGAAGGTTGCTCTCATTGGCATAAGCGTGATGACTACTGCTTGCAGCAATACCAGTAATTGTACAAAGAGAAGCATTGAAATGAAGAAACAAAGTCATACACATGTATGAACAATCTTCTTTCATGCTTTAGCTAACAAGAAAAAATATATGACCACTTAAGCTGTTTATACACCCACTATGAAGTATTTTTCTCTAAAATACACAAATGCAAAAAGACTGATACTCCGTACAATTTTGTTACAAGTTGAAATTTTACACCAAACGACACTTTAAAGAATACTAGTACATAATTTAATCACATGTTTGTAAAATGTCAAAACTTTAAAAAGTACCAAGTGCATAGTAATAGGAGAACACTGTAGTTCAAGAAATATGGAAAATTTACATTGACCATTGATGAATAAAAAAAAAATGTAATCATCGGTGTCTTTCAGATGGGTTGTTATCCGACATTTTTAATTTATCTTTATTTCACTTATAATCATGCTATGAAAAAATTCATTAAATCTATAGTGGTATAGCCTTAACACTAAAAATGGTTGATGAAGAGACAGAGCAACCAGTCTCCCTTTTGAGACCTAAAAAGGAACCCATAAAAGGGGTTGAAAATATCGGGAACCCTGTACTAAAGTTTCTATTACGTCCTATAATATTGCTTTTCGATGCGATCATAACGTTCTTTCAAGAAAAAATACTGTGTCCTGCTTTTGATTATGATGAAGGACATATGCTATGCTGGAATAAAGAAATAACATGGCCACTCTTCATTTTTTTGGTTACATTTTTTTATAATATCTGTTATCCTATTATTTTAAGAGTAAGGGGGCAAACTATTCGAAAGAATTCATAATATATGTAAAGATTTCATCTATATCATTAAGAAATTTTTATAACATAAAAGTGTTAAACACACGTTTATCTATTCCCTTTGCTTTAGATTATTAAGTTTGTAAAGGAATATAGGGGTGTAAAAAAAAGGTCGCGAAGAAAAAGAAGGAAAATGAGAAAAAAATATGAAGAGGGTGAAGAATATGATGAATACGACGAAGAAGAAAGTCAACAAAAACATGGTACAAAGAACAGTTCACAAAGGAAAAAGAAGAATAGGCGAAGACGTAGGGGACAAATTTCTCAACAGCTAATCAGTGACTATACCATGGAGCTTGATCAAACATATCCAACTTTAGTTCAACAGTCGCAGATTCACGACCCTCCCATGATATATCCACAAATGGAAATTCCACGATATGAACAATCTCAAATAGAACTTCCACGATATGAACAATCTCAAATGGAAATTCCACAATATGAACAATTTGAAATGGAATTATCACAATATGAACAATTTGAAATGGAATTATCACAATATGAACAATCTGAAATGGAAATTCCACAATATGAACAATCTGAAATGGAAATATCACAATATGAACAATCTGAAATGGAAATTCCAGAATATTAACAATCTTAAATCGAAATTCCATAATATGAACAACCACAAATGCAAGTTCTACAATAGGAACAGCATGAAATAAATGGAATTAAAACGAATATGGAAAAAAGGAAGAAACAAACAAATATCGCAACCAAATATGAGCATACACAATTGAAGGATCATACATATCATTTAGGTCACCATCCAATGTAGAAATAACTTATAAGAAAAGTAAAAAATAATCATAAGCTGAAATACTTTATATTGTACATTAACTATTAAAATATATATTTCGCTCTCAAGTTTTATTTGAATATTATATTATAAACATGAGTAAGACAGAAGCAAAAGTATTAAAGAGTATATTGTGATACTAATTGAAACAAGTGAAACAAAGTTATAAATGATAACATTCTCACAACGCTATCCATAATATTACAGCATTGAGGATAAAATATTATTTTCTTTCCTATGTAGAGATATAAATTAATGATAGCAACATATAATACACAAATTTGTTATTACCTTTTAATTAACTTCACGGGAACTGACACATAATGCCTAATGGCTGTTTCATTGATAAATGCACTCACCTAAGTATAAAACCTTTAATAAATTATATTAATTAACAATTTATTTTGATATATCATTTAAGGAAACACATTACTAGAACAATGCATTTACAGAATTCTTAATATTAAAAAAAATATTACATTAAGAACTGACAGAAATTCGAAGAAATTGTTTACAACATGGAACATGACTTAGAATTTTATGACATGTATATCTTAAACCCATTCGGAATATTAAAATACATATGCAAAATTAATTTAATACCATAAAATTGCAATATAAATAGTGAGTAAATAGGATATAGAATTTTCTATGTAGGTATAATCCATAATAATATAAAAAAGGAATTAACAAATAATTTAAGTGCCCGGTACGTGTGGATGTTATAGATAAAAGTAAATAAGATTATAACATTATATATATAGGACCTCTATAAACTGAGAACGCCTATAAAACAACTACGTAATGCACGTGCAATAATAAATAAAATGCAAGTGATTGCCATCAAAAATGAATCTGCAGTAATGAAAGATTATATACATTGAGACACCTTATTCAATGGAACAGATGGGTATTTCCAAGATGGCCTGTTATAATACATTATGGATAAACGTCAGAATAAGTTATTTAAGGTTATGTCTTTAAGAAAATATATAGAATAAATGAATGATCCCTGAAAATAGATATATCAGTTTGTAGGAGCAACTAATATTTTACACAAAGTTTTACAGTTACCTCTTGATGCTTTAAGGATTTCATCTAAGCAAACACATAAAGAGATAATTAACTTGTCATGAAATACCCCATCCATTTGTCAAATTATTCAATTTTGCTCTATTTCATATGTTATTAATTTTCCCTTTCATTCGTAGTTTTCACATATGTGTGTACTGTAAATACATCTGGTATAACTGTCATTAGTAAATAAAAAAATATGCAGAGAAATACAAAGCGTTGTGCGGATTACTTAATGGCCATTGCATCCAACAACATATCACTCAATCAAGAAATGTTACGCCATTATATTAGAATTTTTACTTTATAGAATTACGTTCATCTCCATTTTATTAGGATCAACAGCATTCAAGAGAAGTGTGTTATAATGTTTGATACCAAGCTTATCCATTATTACTACTATTAGGAAAACTATATTTGCAATTATTAACTTATATAATATTTTATTAAAGCATTTGTGCGTTACTAATATGAGGAAAAATTAGGAACTCATAAATGTGTTAGGAATATTTATATTCAAAAGAAATATCCTCCTGAGCTCACACATATATATGTATATATCTATATAGTTGAAAGGGTGTTGTTGTACATAGCTATTTTGTAATTCTTATACATATTTTAATCATTGAGCTATTTTTCAGAAAATTTGTTCTGTAATTGCCATATTTTATTGATTGCTAAAAAACAAATGAACAATAAAATTTTAAATAAAGTGTATGTCTCTTGTGTTGAACTAAAGTAAATGTTAGATATAATTCCCTGCACATGAAATCGTGATGTCACTCTTTTTTAAATTACCACAATTAAATATACCATACACTACATTTTTCGTAACGCACTCTAAGATAATTATCTTTTTACTTATTTATTTCTATGTAAAAATAGAACTATATAAATGTTAACATTCTGTATTAAATGCATTCCTCGCCGTTCATAACAAGTGCACAATATTTCCCTTTCATTAATTTATATTAATATTTGTAAACTGTTAGAAGCTAAGACGTTGCGAATCCTCTGAATGCAATAATTCTCCTGTTCAGTACAAATAATAAAAATTGTAATAATCCATAAGCGTCATATATCTATGGATTATAATATTACACGATCAACCATTTTGAATGCAACATTATTATTACACATTTATTCATTCATAATTCATGAATGTATTATTCTATTATAAGAATTATATTTTAAAACAGTGCAGAAAAATCCGAAAAAAAAATTTAAATAACATTCATGTAATGGATAAGGTATCGTGTTCTATGTGTAAATTTGACACAGCATATGATACAGAATCATTCTTAGTAATCGAAAAATAACGATAGAGTCCATAACAAAGAATTAATCTACAATGCTCAATAAAGCACTAAGCTAGAAAAAAAAATTATTACAGAAATGAAATGAAAATTATATAAATCAGACAAAGGTATGTTTTCGAACAGAAGAACTATAATTATTTTATTACTTTATGCTTCCTTATAATCAATAAGGTTGCGATGTTGCACATTCATGCTCCCAAAACATTTCAACCATATATTTCCTGTATTAATAATATATATATATAACCTTGAATATGGCTCAGGGTAAGAATTTTTCAATGCTGAAAACATTATTAACTTCCTTAATAAACCTTAAATATGTTTTTTACGGAAAGTAATATAATGTAAATAATATACACAATTTTGCACCAAATGAGATATTTACGATTATATATATAGATAGAAGAAAATTCCTTAGAAAACAAGTCCTGTTCATAAAATTCAATAAATAAATCAAAAATTATTATTGTGTTATACTAATATATCTCTGTTACTTGTGTATATATCTTAATATTATATCTTTTGCTTTCGATAATCATTTTTATTAACACACTCATATTTTATAAGAAACTAAGAATTACTTTATTACAATTTAAAATCTTACATTATTGTTTCAAAATATCAGATAATTTTATCCATTTATTAATGAAAATCATTGTATAGATTTTTAAGAATTGGTTAGCTCTAATTATATGTCGTAACGGAAATGAAATAATTTTCAAATTAGTTTAAAACTGCGTAGTTATCTCTAAAGTATATGTGTTATTCAATCCGTGATATTTTATTTGTTAGATATGATTACTTTTATTACACTTTAATTTTATTTCATTTCTTAAATACCCCACATAAAAAAACTATTGTCACAGAATTAGTCAGTAGTATCATGACACCATAATAAAATTTCTTATTCAATTTTTTATGTATACATCAGTTATTTATAATTTTTCTCTTAATTCATTTTTCAAAAAACAAATTAGTAATGAAAATATGCCACACTTTGTATACTTTGCAAAAAACGAAAGATGATGAATTATTTAAGCTCCATTTAATTAAAAATCGGTATCTATATCATAAAGGAAGTTATTAATTCACAACCTTAACATTAAGGAATACATTATTGAAAATTTATATTACGACGTCTGTTTTCATTAATATAATGGACGATATAATGTGATATGAAGTTTAAAGTATGCTACTCGAAATTACATCAGATTATATTTTACTGTAATTCCGAAGACTATACTACTAACACAACAATATTTAATTATAAAAATAATTTATGTACATCCAATGAATACCAACATGAATATTTAAGTTTTAATAAATTAGAGTTTTCTAATACAATTTTACTATTCGTAATGGTAATAAACAAGAGCATTCGAAGAATAAGATAGAAGAATTCAAGGAGTTGCCTAAAAAATGTAAAGACGTATCTCTCACGAAGCATTAAGGCACGAGGAAAATTATTAAGAATATATAATAATGGCATATATAGAGGGGATGAAAAGGAATTAAAAAAAAAGCGATAAAGATGTACAAGAAATCTTTCCCTTTTATTCGCATAATTTATATTTGAATTTTCTTAAATAATTTTGCAATAAAATTTACTAGATAAATAGATACATTTATTTTTTTTGTTTCACAATCTTTTGTCACAATTGTGCAAGAAGCACAAACAGCAATACAGGTGATGATACTCAAACACCGAGTACATAACAATGCTCCTCCCAAATGTTAGCAACAGGTCCAGAGACAACTATTACTGATCATATAGCAGGAGTATGTAGAACTTATTTGAACATTGAGACTATTTGCGGGAGCAATGAGCTAATGGGTATACTTGGATTCTTCCTTTTCTCCACAATAATTAGCATAGTATTTGGAATTTTTCGTAGAATACCGAAAAAAAACTCCTAAATAAATTGAACATAATATAATTTATAATGTATTTCGGTGAACAAATTAGAATTGCAATAGAACAACATCGTGTTTGTGTCCCATTTTCATTTTCTCTTTTATGGATTTTTCGTTCTAAAAGTTCTTGTAATTCCCGGAACCAGGAGTCGCCGAAGAAAAACGAATGCAACAAGAATGACAAGAAGATGGAATCTTCGAAAAAAAAATGAATAATCCACAAATGGGTAAACATCTTCTATTGAGTCAGCAAAATTCATTACAAGCACTGATACAAGGACCCCAAGGTAAGGGGAAAGAAAAAAATCTTCTAAAAAAGAATGGGATAATTCAATGAATAATGGAACATATCTTTAAGCTACTATTCATTGCTACAATAAGAAAAATCGTTACGACATTGAAAAACTCTACTTCTTTTATTAATATCCCAAATTAAGAACAATATGATGTTATATAAAAAAAATATAAGAACTGATAAATATTTTCAAGAATACTAAAATGTAATTATACGATTAATATAATTTAACCTTAAATTGAACTAAGAAATACATAATCGTAAATCATTTGGGGTATCTTTTAATGAGAACAGTGTCGTTTCTAATAATCATATGGAAGAATTAATGACAGAATTAAATTTTAATTAATTCTGAAATAATGAACTTATTCCCTGAACTACTGAACGAATTGAAAAATAAAAGTTGTAAATGATGAAAGCATAGTTGAAAACCTAAATTTATGGAATTTTAATGAAAACGCCTGTTGCAAACAGAGGAACATATTACATTATACATGAATTATCTTTCTACGAAATAATAATAATAAAAAGTAATATCACAAAAATAGAGAAACGGAAGGACAATTGTAGTAATTTTGTAGCACATAAAATAGAAAAATAAAGCAAAAATCAGTGCCCAATTGACTACGTTCTGCACCTTAAGATGGTGACAAAACTTACAAATTAATACTACAATGTGATATATAGATTGTTAGATAATATAGTAAAATCACATATAAATAAAAAATAATTTAGTGCAGAAACTATATTAATATATGAATTATTACATGGCTTATATATTATATATGTATACAAAAGAACAAGATAATATATTAACTATATTTTTAAACAGTTGTTAATTTAACTATTTCATTCTAAACCCAGAATATATATAATTAATTGAAGCATATATATATATTTTTTGGTTAAAGAAATGATATTTATAATATTAATTAATCAAGTAACTCATATCTACTATAAAAAAAATTATAAGATGTTAAAATATTCCCTATATATACATTTACATCAGTTTAATATCCATTACAGGATATATATGTTTCTTTTGGAGGAATATCTGATTTAAATATTTGACGTCAAGTTGCGTGATCACTTTTAGATATTTCAAGGATTCACCTTAAGATAATCAATAAAAATATAATTTCGTCATATTGAACAAATGACTAGTTTAGTATAATAAACCTATCTGTTAGAAAAGTGTCTTCGAACAATTATTAATTTTTTTCTTCTAGTAACACTTTACAATAATTAAGTATTATGTCTAGGAGTTTGCTATAATATTACAAATAAAAGGAATAATATTCAAATATATACGAAATATGATTCTACGTATTTATTTCTGACAATTAGTCATTTGATTACATTCAAAAACCTTGTAATATTATACAGAACAAATAGCAACATAAAAATATCTTAAAAAGTAATACCCTTTAGAACATATAACTGCTCTTGTAAACACAAGGAAGGCGAGAGAAAAATTACTTATTCGTTAAACCCATTTTTGGTAACCTATGTTTCTGAAGAATGAAATGGGATCATTGCACGATGTAAAATTAGTTCACAGCGAATTACCTTAATATTGACCAACACAGTCATTTCCATTTCCACTACTATAATGGACTACATCATGGGACTAATTCTGATGATGAAGATGCAGAGACAGCAATAATCAGATAAGAACACCCCCTTACATATCATAACAGAGGAAGAATACCTAATTGTTCGAGTAGTTTGTTTATCCTTGAAGGAAATGTACACAAATCGCTACAAATAGAAATTTTCTATTGTTTTATCACTTTCTATAATTCCGTTAAAATGGTAATATGAAGGCTTGTAACAGGAAGTTAAAAGAACAAGTCCAAAAGTGCAATAAATTCGCTTCCAAGCCGCCATATTATATGATCAAAATAATATATGTAACGATGGCATGCATATAGACATTGCGAAATGTGTAACACCTTGCAATCATGAGGTTCTCACACCGAACTTACCACCTGGCTTAATTAAATTACCATTAAAAATTCGATATAATAATATTGTAACGAAATTGTTAACCTCAGCACGAATATGTTACGTTTTTGTGTCCCAATCTGCACCTGCAATGAACGCCTGTGCGGGGACGGTAAATTCGCAAGGTGCAGAAGCATCTCAAAGCAGTGAAAGATGCAAAATGAGAAGGAATATAGCTGATGTTGGGCTAAACGCCGCAAGAGGAACTTTTGAGTTACTAAAACGTTTACATAAATGTTTTTGTCAAATCAAAAATTCCCCTTTTTCTAACCCCGAGGACACTGATTGTTCCCAATTAAAATTCGTCAGTGGAATTGTAATTATATTTGTTGTGTTAATAGTGGGATCCTTATTTGCCTTTTGGTTGGTGGTATGTGGATGCTCCATTTAAAACAAAAATTCTCATTATGCAATTGAATTTGTCCTTTTTTTCGCATGATCTACTCTTCCATTAAAACATTCAAACGTTTTACATGTGCATTACATTTTCGTCTACAAATCAGTTCACACCATCTGATGAGATTGGATATTTACGCAAGAGGAAGGCAAAACATATTCAATATTATAAGAGATTAGCGCAAGAGGAACAAGAAATGGAGGAGGAGGAGAAAATACCTGATGAAAAAACACCTGATGAAAAAACACCTGATGTGAAGATACCTGGTGAGAAGATACCTGGTGAGAAGATACCTGATGAAAAAACACCTGATGTGAAGATACCTGGTGAGAAGATACCTGGTGAGAAGATACCTGATGAAAAAACACCTGGTGAGAAGATACCTGGTGAGAAGATACCTGATGAAAAAACACCTGATGTGAAGATACCTGGTGAGAAGATACCTGGTGAGAAGATACCTGGTGAGAAGATACCTGATGAAAAAACACCTGATGTGAAGATACCTGGTGAGAAGATACCTGGTGAGAAGATACCTGGTGAGAAGATACCTGGTGAGAAGATACCTGGTGAGATGTTACCTGGACAAATGGCATCTGAACAGATGACACCCAGACAAATAGTACAGGCGAAGATGCCGTCTGTGTCCACAAATCAAGAAAAAGTTAAACATGACGAAGAACATCACGATAACCAAAAAGATAAACCAAGTGAACTTCGTAAGCGCAGTGAGCAAAATGAACCATCACAAATTACGAAGTAAAAGTCCTACAGAAATACGCGAAAAAATTATCAGTGAATGAAGAAAAACGGAAAAAATGATAAAAATGACAAACACGACAAGCATAACAAAGAACCATCAGCTTTCATTCCTACAGCTGCACAGGGACGTCTACAAAAAAATGAATTTTCTATAACACATAAAGCAAATACCGATGTGAGGCATCGTAAAATAGTAAATAGCTTCACATCAGTTATCCTTATGTCACTTCAATCGCCAAACAATTGATACCAGACTTCTAATTTTATTCATCACTAACAGAAAATATGCGTCAATAAAGATTGTAATATAAAGAACAAGCAACGGGGATAATAAAAATTTTAAACGCTTTATGTGAAGAACGAATTTGTAAAGAGGCAGCCAAAATGTACTGGACAAAGCCCCACGAAAAAAGGGACTACTAATGGTATACTCTCAGAATCGCATATTAAATTTAGCACGTAAAGAAATAGTACAAAGACGTTACTACGTAAAGAATGTTGAGTATCATTTTGGTGGATGATGCTGTACAGGAGCTACTGCTTTAATGAAGAAAAACATGAACTAAGAGTATTGCTCCTTGAATTATGACCAAATGATGGAGATATGTTGGTATTATTGTACATCCATAGAGATGGCACAAATGCGTAACAGTCAATTTATCATAAATGATATACATGTGTAAGATTCTGTTAGTATATTTTGATTCTGCCCGCCAGTACGAATTTCTCGTTGTTATTGTGGCTAGCATGAAAACAATATGTTTAACGAGCATATATGCATAAATAAGGCTTCCCCTAGATAAACAATGAAGAATCTGGAGGAATTTGAAATATCAGTGGATATTAATTAAATGCAAAATGAAGGGTAGATATTACTGATTCATCAGATATTTTACTGTTTTATGGTGTATTTATTCAGAGAAATATTTTAAACTCCGAAAAAAATGTAATTACCTCACTCACTTTTCCAAAAATGAGGAGCTATTGTAGCAAGAATTCTTCCAGATCTACAGCGCGAAGAGTTTTTTATTTCATTTTGTCAATTTAAAGACGGCTTTACACAAGAGAACACATCTGTTAAAAAAAATATACTTTACAAATGCTTGCCAATCAATTTGTGTGTAAGCTTATCCCCCCCTTGTTTTCCTCTTTTTAATTTAAAGGCATAGCAAAAAATGGAGATTCACGTTTTTCATCATTTGTATGAATTGTTGGAAATTCTCTACCATTATGTGTCTCTACAGGAAAGACTTAGAAGACGCGATGTAATGAATGCACTAAAATATGGCATTGCGCGCATCTGATCATGTTTCTCTGGGATATATCGTATAGTAAAATGATAACCACTCTGAGGCAAGCTAACGGGATGGCTGAAATGAGATGTTTTACCATTTCTTCATAATTATCTGTTCATAAAGGTGATTTTCAAAAAATTCGGCTTCATGTTTCTTTTTTGTTTTAAGCAATATTACAAACCATTTCTTCATTTAAAAATTTTTCTCTATAAATGGTCCTTAATGTTCTGGAAAGTTATATATACATACATATTCACTTGTCTGTCAATTTATGCTTAAAAAATGTGTCACATATTTGACTCGCCAACGAATTAACGTCATTTTTGTTTTTTTTTTTCTTGTTATTTTTTAAAATATCAAATCGGATTTCTAACAATTTTTATTGCAACGATATATACTACAATCTGCTCAAATATTTTTTCACAAAATTCTTTGGTAAAAATTTAACTTCATGTGGTCTACGTATTATTTTTACGTACAATTTTCTGTACTGCGTCAGAGAAGGTAAGAATATCTGCGCTAATCGTTTTTATCTTTTCATTCCTTTGCTCACCTCAAATGGACTGCATCATCCATTTCGACGTTGCTCATTTTTATGTGTGCAGGGCCAATAAAAATTTGTTTCATTATTATAACACGCTTTTTTGCAAGTGGAAAAAATAACCACATAAAATTATGAGGTTGTTAACAGGGAAAAATGAAGAGACGCATAAAAAAGGAGGTGCATACATTGAAGCATACACTTTTGTGATAATATTTTTCCCTGTTCAGATATTTTATTCAAAACACATGTAAAAATGTTCGACTTATTTTGTTCTACTTCCAAAAAATTTGACCATTTTCCAATACATTAAATACAACATAGCTTTCCTTTAATGGCAATACCAGCGAAACATTCTCTTTGGACCATTTAATTAACAACACGTGTGACATTTTACAAAAACCATCTTCATAACCTCAGCCTATAGGAGAATTCGCCTCAAAATTGTTAAACTCTCGAAAACGAGGCTTAATTTGTTTATTCATATCGTCACACATGTTTTGTTTCTCTGCTAATGTTTGTTATAGGAGCCAAACCGGAAGAGCAGGAACTATTCACAAATAGCACAGTTCATATTATAATCAACCTTTACCTAAGTTGACAAGGATGGGGGGTCTACATGTCCTTAATAGAAGGTAAAATTCGCTCCACAAAGACGCGCACCTATATACACACACATACATACGTAAACCTAATTGTGCAAATGATAGTGATCATCTTACTGCCCATTTAGCGAAAACTAAATACGTGTGAATAACACTCTTTTTACTTGTCCCGCGTACTAATCTCAGTAACAGCTGTATCAGGCGGTATTTTGACAGAAAAAACAAAATAAAGCTTTGTAAAAGATGAAACAATAGCAAGAAGAAAACAAGCCCGAATGTGACAGGAAGATACTTCTTTCATGTAGACTGCGCCAAATTATCCAGAAACAGAAGAACAGTGAAACAAACGCCTTTCCGAATACATAAAAAATACGCGAATAGACAATTAAGTAAGAATGTGCGCCCAATATAAAATCTGCTTCTTCAAAAATATGCAGAAGAATAATAGGTGGACTAAACATATGCAGACAATTCATAGTAATGCATGTATTCACTCCGAGTGCACAAACAGAATCATTTTTCCTTTCGGGAAAATATAAACTCCTGCTGTTTATCCCTTCGGATCATACGAAAATTTTGACACACTGTTCTCATCCCTCGTGAGGTATACAGAATGGTACAATTCAAGATAAAAGAAGAAGTACATTGCGAAAAAGAGAAATGTGATAAAGGAGCGAATTCACCACAAACTGTGTAAAGTGTGTAAACTGTGTAAAGCGCCTATTTTCTTCGCCCAATTAAGAAAAGGACCCAGGGATAATTTATGGAGACGCTTGAACATTTGAATTAAAACCAAGCCGGCAGCTAAATCAGGTATTCGTCCATAACTCTTATGGCCTCTACATCACCCAATGTTTAACTTCATATAGAAAAATAAGCAACAAAACAAAATTCCATTTTGAATACGATAAAATAGTAAGAAGATTCCCTTTTTTTTCATGATGATTCTACTGTCAAGGAGTACCAGGAGTGGTTTTATAAAAGCACATCGAAATTTTATGCAAAGAAGGGGAACCACATGGATGCAACTTGTAACAGGAATACATTAAATTCTGGTAGATATCCTGGGGACTTGGAACAAATATTTAATTTGAACAAAAAATATAAAAATACATTAATATTTATAATAAAACTTCCATTTTCAGGGAGACAGAAAAAGGATTGACTAATGTATGTCATACATATGCACATTTAATGATATTAAACGATTTGCATAGAGAAAACAGACAAATGTTTTACTATCGTGCAGATAAATGGACTCCTGGATAAAAATTTATCAGACATAATCATTTGTCCCCACTTCTCTCCTATTTTTATCCTTGTTTGCTGTAATCTGTTTTTGTACATCCGCTAATTTTGTACTACACACATTCCAAGCACTTTTTTCCAAAATAGGCTCTTCAAATGATATGTCCGTGGTAGAAAAATAAAAAGAAATGAGCGATGCATAGGAGGGGACATTACATTATGTTACCCGCAAACATCATTCAATTCATTTTTGCGCCTTTGAATAGATGGCGGTCGAATTGAAAATTGCGTTTTCTTTTAATGTAGTATAATGGTACATTAGAAGAAGGTGCCGATATGAAGCCTTTTATACGGTGTACATGTTTTCACCCACCATTAAATTTTTACTATGTGATAAACATATGATCATTTTTTTTTATTTCTAATTTATGTTCCTGTACATATGAACTTGCTAGCTATAAAAGATTTCATACGTCTGTAACCATTCTGAACGTTTATTTTTCTTCTTGTAAAAAGAGGCAACCTTCAAAGGGACCCATATAAAATGCCATATTCTTCCTTAATAAATCATTTTTCATTATAGGCTGAACAAAGTGTCCACTTAATCCAGCTCATTACGATGAACACTTTCAATATATTTCATTCAGGGTGTCTTTTACCCTTCGTATAAACCCAATAAACGTGCTTAATCGTAGCACTTATATGATAAAATACAATTTGAAAAACCTTTTTTATCCATGGAAAAAGGCAAAATAGATTGAATGAAGTGTGGAGAAAACTAATAAGAGTTACATTAGTGTCAAATAAATTGTAAAAAATGCTTATCTAATATATTACACATAAATCATGAACATCAGTTGAAAAAATGGTACACAAGAGGGGATAGGCAAAAGGAACTTAAAAAATGTCCTTCGAAAATGTATAGTTAAGAAAAAATATTTTTTTTAAAATTCCTTTTATAATTACCATGATGAAAAACTAAACTGTAATTTTTTCCTTCTGCGCTTTTTACGTACAACACCGACACTTCAGCAATAGTTCGCTTTCACTACAAAATGTCTTCTCTCAGACAAGCTTAATATTTTTCAAATGTTTAATTCGGTAAGAGTTTTGCATCTTTACGCAGCTGAATTTTAGGCAAAACGTGAGTTTACATCCTTATATTCTTCACCAATAGCCTTATTAATTCGTGTCGAACTGTTGTGTGTGTTCCATTTTGTGTTCTGTTGTTCTACACCGATTCATTTGACCTTAAAAAGGATTGCGTATTTTGTGACCATATAAGATCCCCACTACAATAAATTATTGTTTA